TATATATATATACATATGTTTCGTGCGCGTACCGTGTACATCAGACAAGTGCAAAGTGTATTAGTCAGACAGAGACATCAGCAATGTCAGAAAGGAGCTAGCGCAAGAGAGAGAGAGAGAGAGAGAGAGCACTTGAGCAGCAGTGAGCCTGAGTATATAACTTTTAGAAGTACTCACTTTCAATAAAATAGAAAGAGCAAGAGTCGAGAGAGTGGTTGGTCGAGTCGGGGGTGGAAGACCTTTGTTTGGGTAAGGTAAAATATACCTTTGTACTTTGTACCCAAAATCCAAATAAATATACCTATACCTACCTACTAACTACCCACACATACATGCTGTACGGCACAACAAGAGAAGTACTTGTAGTAGTATTAGCAGTAGCAGCAAGTATAGCAAGGCATACAAGTACAAGGATACGAGTAGTGGAGTAGTACAACGTACAACCTATAGGCGAGGAGGACGCTCTTCTCCTCATCAACCCTCAACCTCGTATAGACGCGCACGGGACACGCTTTGGAGGGTGTAAATACGCGATGGAGGAGTCGAATCGACCAAGACGAAGACGATGATGATGATGATGGTACTGCATCAAGGAAGGGAAGTTTTTCCTCCAAGTGTGTAAAAGCGAGTGTGTGTGTGCTGTTAAGTTAAGGAATTAAGTATATGTGTACGTGCACGCAGAGGGAAAAAATACAACCGACGACGACGGCCACGAAGAGGAAGAGAAGAGGACGTCGCTGTTGTGTTGGCGTTCATGTTGTACCTGCTGCTGCTGCTGCTGCTGCCTCCATAGTATTTCACATCTTCCTCCTCCTCATCGTCGTTACGTATGGTCTGCTGGTGGACGCGCTCCACGCATTGTACGTCGCTGTCATTCGTTCCCCGTGCAGTAGGGTTCTCTGCGCCTTTTTTTCACGCAATACTATCTATAGGAGGAAAATAATTAAAGACCCTGGGGAAAGAATGTTGTTCTGCACTAACTCTCTGTGATATATCACATCGTGATTTCAGCACTTTGCGCTCTCTCTTTCTCTCTCTTTCTATATACTCGTACACCCCCATGACTCCGATTCTCGGGATATTCGTCTTTTCCTCGTCATCCTATTTTTTAACTTCAAAGGGGATTGTCCGCTAATCGTTGTAGATATCATACTACTTACTCATCAGCGCAAGCTTTCTAATTTACTCGAGTCTACTGTTGTCATCATCGTCGTTGTTATCGTCATCCTCTCGAGTGCGCGCTCAAGCAACACCATCATGTTCACGGGTACCATCAAGGTTGAGATTTGCGAAGCTTCTGGTCTTAGAGCTACGGACAAGCAGCGCAAGTTCTGGCAGGATGAACCACCCATCCTGGATCCCTACGTTCAGTTGGACATTGACGAAAAGTATCTCAACTGTTCATCTACCAAAAACAAGACCTTCAATCCTGTCTGGAACGAGTGCTTTACACATGAAGTGCACGATGCCATGCTGTTGGGCCTCACTGTCTTCCATAATGCAGCTCTTCAGCCTGACGATTTTGTGGCCAACTGCAGTATACCCTTCGAAGAACTTATTCAGCGAGACGATGAGACTACTGACTTTTGGGTAAGTACGAGCGGTGACATTTATACGTCATACTTGAGCTTTTTCCTTCTGACATAATGTCGCTGTTATGTCTTTTTATCGGTCTTATTTGTGAAACATTCTCTCATAATATTTACTTTGACACGGTAAATAGCTAGTGCCACTGATAACACGGTGATGTAACAATCATCTGCTCTCTTGCTATTAGCTGTATGAATAATTTATTATTTCAAAATATTTTCAATTCTCAGTAAGTAGTTTTTTTTAATAATGTATACAATATATGAGATAGTGACATCACCTTTGAAGAAATATAATTTTCAATAGACATCTTAATTACGCTTTTTACTGTTCAAGTGATCCACTGAAAAGCTTCTGTATTCTTATCTTGCTTTCATTTTTATAAGTACATCTTACAAGATAGGGATCATGTACCTACACCGTATTGTGTAAACATACTGATAATCAAAATCTTTCTCTGATAATTAAAAGTTTATCAATGATTGTCACTTTGAATCAGGAATAAAACAAATTGGTAGAAATGCATGTACAACACTGTTTATAATGTATATATAATGTGCATACTTGTACACATACACATATATAGAACATAAAAGTAAACTGACACGTGATATAATAGCTTCTGCTTGTTTTATGATATCTAAGAAACAGATAAGATTGTAGAAGATGAATCTTGAAATCAAAGAACACATGACTGCAGTACAGTTAGGTGCACACAAATCGATTGCTTGATGATATTCCTCCCATGTTTTTGGAATAAGTTTAAATTAGTTTTACAGTAGTCTATTAATAATCTGTATTATTCATTGCAAAATTAAATTGAGCAAGATGTTTTATTCGCACAGAAATTATGGAATGCTCAAGTGTTTACGTAGGTTAATTGCAATTCAGCAAGAAACAATTAATAAAATGGGTATAGTACATCCTGAATATTGGGTGAGGTTTAAAATCTGTCCTTGATCAAAAATCAAATTAAGTATTATTTTTAAGATTTAAAAAAAAAATCACAATACGTAATTTTTCATTAATTTCAGGTGGATCTGGAGCCTCAAGGAAAATTAAGAGTAAAAATAGAGTTACAAAGAAATGACCACCTACAGCATTTGGGAGGTGGTATACGAGATGGAGAGGGAGTTGGAGGTAGTGTCAACAGGAGCAAAGAGCCCAAACGTGAGTTTAAGGAGCATCATCAAGGCTTCAGAGGCAGGCGGGGTGCCATGAGAAGAAAGGTTCACCAGATAAATGGGCACAAGTTTATGGCCACCTTTCTTAGGCAACCCACATTTTGTTCACACTGTCGAGAATTCATATGGTATGTCTTGACTGTAATTTATTCAATAATTTAATCTTTCCTTATTAAATATAATGGGTTCTGCATGCTTGACTTTTACTTGATCAAATTGAAGTTTAAGGGGTTGTAGGGTTGCAGACCTGTTAATCAATTAATATTAGATTATATCAATAGAAATTTTGCATGTACTAAAATTCTAGAATGTGATACGATCTAAAATATATTTAAGGATATCGAAAGTTGGTATTTTAATTTAACTCAGTGAAATTATTATCTCTAAATAATATATTATTATTTCCATGCATTTTAATAAGATTATACAAGGTACTCTTACCATAAACTAGTATTTCTATACATTTTTATTTTTTGTTACTCTATTTTCTAATTTTTTAATTTTCATTAATTTTTTTATATAACTTAAGCTAGGGATTCAACTCTGTTTATAATTTATCACATCTTAATTTTCTAAAATTCTTGGTTGGGATATTTTCTTACTGTTCTACAGTGTAACTTGCATGTTTGGGGATCTTTCCTATTAACGATTTTTGGAACTGTAGTGCTATTTAAATTATTTTTAGAAAGCTATAAGCCTACACTGGTGATGAATAAATTATTTTATGTGGATAATATACGTTTTTCTTCGTGAATAATTTTTATCTATTTTTATCTGTGGATGTGGATTAATACAACTTTTCACGTTAACACGATAAATACGATTTAATGATATAAATAAAACACGGGAATAAGTGTTTTACCAGAGTAATTTTATCAGAGGAGATAATATGACGCGTTTTTGTCTGTTGTATTTCAGGGGCTTGGGCAAGCAGGGCTATCAGTGTCAAGGTGAGGAAGACACAAATCACGTTATTGAACATCTTTTAATTGCTGTTGTTATCACTTACCAGGCCTGGGCAATACTTTTCATTAAACTGTATAAATATCACAAAATCAGCAATAAGTCACTGCCCATTCCTGGTTATAAATGTCAATGGCTGTACATTAACAATCTTTCTACGTTATGTATCTCATTTTTTTTTTTTGTGTTCGGAAGCTTTTTCATACGTCAACTGTGGGCTATGCTTGCAAAAATTTTACTTTTAATGCCATTATTAACACCATTTCAGGGAATTTTCATTTAGTTTGCAGATGTTATGTTTTTTTTTTACATTTACATTATGGTTACATTACAGTTTCAGCACCAATCATTTCAGCAACACTAACAAAGTGCATGTACAAGCTTGGGGCTGTGTTATGAAACATTTTTTAAACAATTTCTGAAAGTATCTCATTCTCGTTTCAGTTTGCACTTGTGTCGTTCACAAAAGATGCCACGAGCAAGTTGTTACGAAATGCCCTGGCATGAAAGAAGAGGTATTTATCTAAATGCTTTTGTATTACGTCGATTGAGCCTTACCTAGACTTTTTTTAATTATTAAATTCAAAATTTTAGGCATGCCATCCAGAAGTCGCTCGATTCAAGATAAATGTTCCGCATCGTTTTGTCGTTCACAATTACGTACGATTCACATTTTGCGATCATTGCGGCTCACTTCTCTACGGTTTTTTCCGACAAGGTCTCAAATGCGAAGGTAAACACCATACATAAGCACTATTAACTTGACGTTTATTAATTATTTCAACAATATTAACACATGTGTTGATTGGGCGCAGTCTGCGAAATGAACGTTCACAAGCGCTGTCAGAAAAACGTGGCAAACAATTGCGGAGTCAACGTGAAGGCGATGGCCGATGCGCTCAACCAGATCGGCATCGCCCCTGACAAACAACAAGTAAAAACTTCGAGGATCAACTACAAGCCTTCGATTCAATCGAGCAGCGGGAGCGATGTGTCAAGTGATACTTCAACCACGTCCTTGCTACATAGACAAAAGTCTGGAAAAGATTTGGTGTCGCTTGCGGGTAGCGACAGTTCAAGCACAAAAGATTTGAACGACATACACAAGTACGGCCTTGCAGACTTTAATTTTATTAAGGTATTGGGCAAGGGTAGCTTTGGCAAGGTCATGCTGGCTGAGAAGAAAGACAACCCTGAGGAAATTTACGCCGTCAAGATACTGAAGAAGGACGTGATAATTCAAGACGACGATGTAGAATGTACGATGACGGAAAAGCGAATCCTAGCCCTAGCAGCAAAGCATCCGTTCCTCACAGCTCTGCATAGTTGTTTTCAGACAAAGGAGCGTCTCTTTTTTGTTATGGAGTATGTTAATGGAGGTAATTTGTCAGAACTTTGAATCATATTTATTGCTTGCCGTGTAATATCCGTCATTTTACAAATAAATTTTATCATTGATACAGGCGACTTGATGTTCCAAATTCAAAAGGCTTGCAAATTCGAAGAATCTCGCGCTCGTTTCTACGCTGCCGAAGTAACGCTAGCTTTACAATTTCTCCACGAACATGGCGTTATATATCGTGATCTGAAGCTTGACAATATTCTACTTGATCAAGAGGGACACTGCAAACTAGCAGACTTTGGTATGTGCAAAGAAAAAATGTTCCCAGGCAAGCTGACGAACACCTTCTGCGGCACACCCGATTACATCGCTCCAGAAATTCTCCAGGAGATAGAATACGGTGCAAGTGTCGACTGGTGGGCGCTAGGCGTCCTTATGTACGAAATGATGGTTGGGCAGCCACCGTTCGAGGCTGACAACGAGGACGATCTTTTTGAGTCGATACTAAAGGATGACGTGTTGTATCCTGTGTGGCTGAGCGAGGAGGCCGTTTCAATTCTTAAAGGTTTCATGACCAAAAATCAGAACCGTAGATTGGGGTGTGTCACGATAAACGGAGGTGAAAAAGCCATCAGAGAGCATCCATTTTTCCAACACATGGACTGGGATGCGCTTGAAGCGCGTAAAATCAAACCACCCTTCAAACCAAAAGTCGTACGTTTCATTTAACGTAACTTTAAAGTTTTTTCTACCGATTCTCATATAGTTTCGTGATCTTTAAAAAATTTTTTCAGAAAAACAAAAAAGATGCAGTAAATTTCGATGCAGAATTTACAAAAGAAGAGCCGGTTCTAACTCCGATCAGCTCAGATATTACGTCTAGCATAAATCAAGAGGAATTCAAGAACTTCTCTTACGTTAACCCGGAATTCTATCCTCCTAGATTCGTATCACAGTAAGGGAAATACATCAACCATACGCTGAAACGTTTTGGAATTTTTATTAAACAAATTTTATGAAGTTCACGGCCAGAGCGACGTCGACGATATAATATAGGTAAGCAATTTATTCGTCGTACTATCAAAGGCCGAAAATTTCCTTTTGGATACAGAGTAAGAAAAAAGTGTGTAAATATTAAAGACGAGCATTTCTCGTTTTACTATGATCTCTAGTCAACAAAGAATCTAAAAGTTTGTGGGGAAAAATATTAGTCATTTCGCAATTATTATATTTAATTCGCCAAGGTGAAACTTGTCACTCGCGTTGTATCTATAGTAATTTGTGTGCGATTAAAAGTAATATTAAAAGTAATTTTGTTTGTCGTTTTTTAAGAACTCTGGCGAAATGATAATAACATCGTTGTTATTAATAGTGAAAAAAAAATTTTAAAAACTACAGTCAAGTGACGTTGATTCGTCATCAACAAAAATAAAATAATAGCAGAAAAAGAGATTGCTTTCACGATTGACATGAAAGCATTATTGGTGGCCGTGTACCTCAATCGCTTTACGGTTCAACGGCGAGAGGCGGACATCGGTTTTTCTCGCTCTACTTTCCTCCCTGCGTTACCATACACACACACAATATTCGACCTCCGGTACACCGAACAAACTACGGAGACCTGAAATTTCAAATTATCTATGCTTAGTATTTATTTTTAAACGACATGAAAAAAAAGAGTGCTATGAATATTTAATCAAAGATGTTTAGTGTTTGTGAATCGTGTTGGACACATTATAAAAGCTCACAAACGAAAAAGCCCGCGTTGATCGAACGACGATTTAAACAAAAGCCACATTTCGTTGATCTTTAAAAAAAGGCTTCTTATCTCACTGCGTGATCAAAAAGCTCCGACTTTACTCGACGAGATATTCAGGATGTACTCGTCGCGCATCGTCGGGGCGTAAGCTTACAACGGAATAAGAAAGATTTAAAAAAGCGGACCGCTGGTGGTTCGCGTATCAAAGAAGCTATACATGATTATGTGCGTATAAAGAAAAGAAAAAATATATTAATATATATAAACTAAAGTATATAAATAAATATTTAACTTATTTTAGAATATGCTTGAAAAAAAAAAAAATAAATAAGAAAAACAAATAGTGAAGTCAAATCGCAAACTATTGTTGGAATCAAAATAACAAAATCTATTGTTTATAATAATTGTTGAATGTTGCTGAGGTATATATAAAGGAAATGAAATAAAGAAACAAAACTCATCAGAAAATAATTACTGTATAGAAACGCCCATTACGCACCTTTCAGGATATTTTTAAGTGTTATTTCTAGTTAGACTGAAGTGAAAAAATTATACGTACCGTGGGAGAAAGAAGATGAGTCTATGTAGCAAAGTTGACGTTGAAATCTGTCTAAAAACTTGAAATCGAGTCTGATAGAAACATAGAACCGTAACTGTTAAGTGGATAAATGAACATACTATACACATTTGGTAACCACTGGGTAACCACTTGTATTTATCTTTATACGTTTCTATGAAAATTTTTTGTAGAAATCTTCATCGAGATAGAAATGTTCGACGATTAATCTTGCGCGGTGCAATGTTTCTATGTAAAATTTTTATAGAAGCGAGAAACTTCGTTTTTGTATTCTCATCGCTGTATATGAGATGTTTTGAATATCGTTCTTTTTTAAAAGATCAATCGATGGAGAAGCGCGTGCACGTACATGGTGTGATCTGCGTTTCGCGTATAAGAGCTCAGTTTCTATTTTGTTTTTTTTTTGTTTTTTTTCTCTCTCTCTTCAGAAAGTTGTCGCCAAACATGGTCACGTATCAGTAAGTGAAGTTCATGTATTTATTATACAAATTTATGAGTCTCCATAGCTTCACAATTCTCGCCTTGTACACTAGAGATGAAAAGAAATTTACTTTATTTTATTTTTGAGTGACTATGGGAAAAAAACAACAAAAATAAGATAATTTTCGCAGTGATTCGTGTACTTAAGAATATTAATCTCATATACCGTAAAATCCAAAATTATAAATCAAAGAAAAGCTTCACACCTCGTGCTATATTATAAAAGATGGTGAAAAATATAGGCAAAAAAGTAATAACGAAAGAGCCAAAGAGGAAAAGTGCACTAGAAACGCGCAAAAGTTTCTTTTGTATCTCGTTCTGATGGCAATTAATTATAAAAATTTCGTTGATGTTTTACGTTGTTTACGTTGAATAACAAAAAAATAATAATAATAAATAAATAAAATGTTTTATACGCACAATCAAAACGAGTCGTGGAATTCTGTGTTCGTGTATTATTATTATTATATTTAAATTTTACTATCGTGACAGAAAACGTGTTTTATTTTTTGTATTGTTTTTTTACCGTTTGTTTGTATAACTTTTTGTTTTTGTTTTTATCATACGTATTAATGTATAAAAGTTATATACTATGAGCCACCGAAACAGCGATCTCGCAGTGGTATCATCATAAAATAATAGGGGAACTGAGGCACACTTTTTTTTCCTCGCTTTTTCGAAAATTCGTTCCGTGCTTTTTTTTTAAAGTTAGAAGGTGCTTTGACTTTTCTCGAAAAGTGCTGAATCAGCCCCAGGAGCTCTTTTCGAGGACTGGTAAAAGATCACTGGCCCCAAAATCGAAGAGTAACATCCGTCAACCCCTTGCGCAGCTCATATATAGGTACATTGTAACGGAGTGCATGCATGCAGGGCTTGAATAAAAAAATGAGAAAAAATTTAGTCTGAAACTCTTTCATTTCCATCCCTCGTCACTGATTGATTATTCGTTAGGTTTATTGGTGCCTCTCCTACAAACCACCCAAATGCCCTCGTTTTGCATCTTAATTTATTTGAAAAACTTGGATGTTGACAGCAGACTGACCACATGTTTTTCTCATTTTTCACGAGTCCCTCAACTCCTTACAGTGTCATCCTCTATATTAATTATAATTCGATGTCGTAATCGTCGTAATCGTGTTACTGAACGTGCAATTTAAAATAAAAAAAAATAAAAAAAAAAGGGAAAAAAAACTAATGATTATTTCGTGCAATTTAATATTTAAGGAAACTCCATAAACACACAAATACATCAACACACTTACAGTACGGTCTTGCGACCGGAACGCGACGACTGAATTGTTGTTGGAGAAAAAGGAAAATTTTGAAAATTAATTAAACAGTTGCGTCCCGAGCGTATAGATTGACGCGCATTTGCAATTTCGCCTTTTCGTTCGTGAATAGTAAGACGAAATTCGAAAAACTATTGAAATATAAACAAAATCACATATTTACAGCTATGGTGGTCCTTGCGAGCTGCGACTTTGTGCAGATCTCGCAGCTCGCGATCGTGCCACCGTCTCTTTACATAATTATACATATATACACGAATATATTATTATCATTATTATTATTATACACGTTGTTCGTGAAGAAAAAAAAGTAAACATATAGATATATATAACTTAATGCCGTTTTCTTTTTATAAAAAAATAGGAAAAAATGTATCTTATATACCGCTTGCATTTTTATTGTATTTTCGTGCGCTGTTGTGTACTTGTTATTTGTTACTATTATTTATATTTTCTAACGAACTATATTGATTTTTGTGTATGTTTACGTGCGAAGCAACATCGAGCGAATCCTAGTCGACTAACTAATATTGTAGTTACAATGATAAACGTTATTTTTATTTAATTACGTGCACTTGCAGGACGACAAATGCATTTATTTATTTATTTATTTATATATTTGTTAAGCCACCTCACGAGGTGAAGAGATAGACAGAGTCTCGATTATTTTTCTATTCACTAATTTTTGTTCTTCGAAAAGTATTAGTAAAAGACGAGTGTGCAAACGAAGCGTGAATGCTAGTTATTTTCGTTCGCGTGACTAATCCCATTACGGATATAGATGCACATAAGTATACAGTAGGCACAAAGTGAACACAAAAATGTAATGAAGGCGAAAGGGGAAAAAAGTGATGACTTGTAAATTTCGTCGAAACGTTGGACGTCTCTTGTTAAGTAAAGAAAGAAATGAGAAAACTCGAAATCACAAGAAAGTACATATGCTCCCTCCGCGATTAAAACAATGTATACATTCGCGATACAACGACGGTTATTTTGTGATGAAAAAAAGCGCTGCTAAAAAAATCTATACTATCTCTGATTTTCTGAATTCTATATATATAAAAAGGATCATACTGAGTTGAGAATGAATCTTCAAGAGATTGATTGTTTTTGATGGAGGCATATAGGTTTCGACTTTTGTATGTAACGACTATCAAAAGGAATCATAAATCACATTAAATTATTAGTTGCAATTAGATATTCAAACAAAACCCAAGTGTTAAAGGACTGAGTAAAAACAATGCTAGTTTTAGTTTGCGTGTTATTAACTGAAAGCTTTGAGCGTTTGATGTTGCTTCGTAGTTGATAAAAATTTTATGAAAAAAAAAAAAAAAAAAATTTTTTAAGAAATAAAACCCCAGAGTTGGATGGATAAACGAAAATGTGATACACTGAAAACCCACACAAAAAGTAAAGTAAAATTAGAAAAAGAAAAAAAAGTTACAAAACCGTAGAGGAATGAAAAAAGATTGGGACGCATTGTGTGCGTTGAAATCTACAATATATAAGCGATACTTCTATTAGATCTGGAAAGATGCATATATAAATATATGTATACCCACAAAAGAAAGAAAGAAAGAATCGCCACACGGTCCACATTGCACACGTATACTGTTAGTCCCTGTCGTTCGCACCCACACATCCGCGATTTATATACACCAATAACCAATACTCCAAGTTGCCTCAGCTGGATGCTGTATGGGCATTTGTATACATGTACGTGTGTAAAGGTCGTCGCAGTGTCGCGCCGCACACCTCGCTCTACCACCTACGCGCGCGCACCATTATCAGCACGCTGCTCTCTCTGCAGCAGAGCAAAAGAGAGAGAGAGAGAGAGAGAGAGCAAAATAAAGGAAAACGGAGATACATCCACGTTTAAAAAAAAAAAAAAAAAAAAAAANGAAAAGTTTTAATGATTGAGAAAAAAAAATAAAATAAAATTATGCAGCAAAAGAGGCGAGCCAGAAAAAAATGAAAAATACACAGGTCGAAAAAATAAGGGACTACTAGATAGAAGTTAATATGTACCTATAACTATATGTACGTACGCGTACCGCAAAACCGAACAAAAATACGCTCATCTCCATGCCTCGGCCACCGAAATATAGCGCCGATACGCTACTTACTTAATTATTTTTTTGTCAGTCTATTTGTATACACATTTACGCATGTACCTGCAGTTTTTGATCTTTATTTTTCTTACTCTTCCACCCTCACATCCAATATATTATATCCATATTATTTAATACCCCACCTACTCTGACTAATAAACGAATATTATTTGTAAAAGTATGATAGAAAACGAGAGTATGCGTGCACGAGAATTCGAGCGAGTGATGTGTTGACGTTATATGATATCGTTATGATATTGCGAGCAAGTTACGAGATTTATCAAGTCAAAACGATTTTTTATCTCATTGAGGCACAAAGTAACAATGCATATGTATAACGCAACCAAAACACATATTAATTGTAAACAATAACACGTACACGCACATGTTGTATAATCATATACATGTATTTGTTGTGAGAAAGATGATGCGTTGACAGAGAGCGGCCGAGGCAAGGGTTGATCGAGCGGTCGCGGCGAACACTGTTACTTGTCTGATTATCGTGTAAAGATCGTAAATAAAACAAAAAAAAGTATATATGTATCTATAATCAAGTCTGTTCTCTTTGCTTTTTTTTACCTTGTGACCATAAAAAAAAAAATCTGCGGTTTAATTAATTTCAGGGTAGGTATGCGTAAATGATATTACATTACTCGAGGTCTTCGTAATACAATATGACTTTATTGTGTTTTCTCGATACAGAGGCTGAGTAGGTATATTAATATTAATAATACGTAAGCGCGTTCGCTCATCATACATTATTATATATGCGTGTGTCCTTCGTACGCGTTTATTATGTGCGTGTAAGTATTTAGCGTTTGTTGGCCACGTACGTAAAATAACTCATACCAATTCAGTTCCTGCACCCCGACTCTTCGTTTGAGACTGAAAATCGAGTCTCTGTTACATATAGGTGTATTCGTGTTTTCCGTCATTATAATATTATATAATATATACAAAAGCAATCTCGATCGTAACATATATTTCTTTTTTTTTTTTTCATTAATTCTTTCAAATCGATAATAATATCGCCAACCATTAATTTATCAATTCTTTTGTTTTTCTTCTTCCTTCTGCGTTAACATTCATTAAGCTATTACAATTCATTCGGCATTCGTTTTCTTTCTATACATCAGGCATTTGTGTTACAGTTCACTCAACCCTTTTTTTTTTTTTTCTATTCCTCTACTTATATATTTCGCACCACGTAGTATACTCTCACTTGTTTCGCTGTGGTTTTTCCTCGAGGACTCAATGAATTGGAGAATGCACCCGCTGTCGGCCTCGGCATTCATTATCATTATACACATATTCAGGCCAACGCCTGCACAAGAACAGAAAAAAAAAAATTACAAACTACTCATTCTGCTGATAAGTTTGTTTGAGCTACAATCAAATCGATGTTGTAGGTTTTACTTGGAAATAGTAAAAATGGGTAACGCCATGCTCAATTATTTTTATGTTTATTTGTTCCCCAGAAATATTTAAATTTAATCAATACTTTCAATGAAACAATACTCGTTTCCTTATATTTTTTATTTCAGCAGCTCAAAGTAAAATATTACAACTAATTGTACGTTTTCATCCGAATGAACAAACAAAGGAATCTTGGTTCATTTTGTTTTTGGCTACGTATTTTACGGAACTTTTAATAGCTCATATTTACACGCTGACAACGAGAGATAAACGCAAAGTTAAATACATATTCGTCAAAAACAATCGAAGGAGTTTTCGCTCTTCTCGAAAATCGCCACGAGAAAGAGAGAGAGGAAAAATTGGTTTCACTGTGTGCGTTATAATTATTGTATACAGTACGCATTGGATTTGGACGTTTACTTGTCGTAAAATCGAGGCACGGCGCTCTTCTCAAGAAAAAAATCTACTTGAAATTTATTATTTTTTTCCTTTTTTTTTTTCTTTTTTTTTGCATTTCTGAGGTACAAATGGATTTTTAGGTATAAATTTCAAAAAATTTTATTGGTTTATTATCATTGTGTGAAAGTTTGTGTAACATTCGTATCGATGGAGATCATTTTCATTAGATTATAAATTGTTTATTTTAATCGAGAAATGCGGTTATTAGTGATTATATCTTTATTATTATTTTTTTTTTTTTTTCTTATTTCGCTTAAAATGATTGTTAGTTATGATTGATATGCAAATTTTAAGTTAATCGGAAACTTTTTGGTGTATTGTTAGTTGGTAGTGAATCGCTTCTATAATAAATTGTATATTTTGTATAATGTACTCATATTAGATTGTATAAGGAAAATCCAGTCTTTAAAAGTATTTATTGCATACAGAAACGGGGAAAGAAACAGAAAAAGTTTTTTTCGCGTAAATACACACTTTTGTACAGAATTTGTTAAAATTATGTTTCTTAATCGTAACATATGCACAACAGGCTTCGATAATTTCAAATAACTCTAATTTTTCATACCCATAATTATTTACAAACACATTTTTTCAACTTGCTTTTCAATTTAGTTTAACAACTAACGAATTATAAGCGGAAATATTTCTTACACGCACTAACACGAGAATTCTTTAAATATATTCTCCTATAATACACTTACATCAGAAATCTTAAATTTTAACAGCCAAAATGCCTTGATTGCGATTAATTAACCGATTGGCTGTGTATAATATTAAAAATTGTAAAATTATAAAACTTGACAGTCGTAAAAAATCAAGCCCAGTTTATTAACTTTTGTTATTTTGTCGTCACTTTGTTTTTATTATTTTAATGGTTATCTAAATAACTTGATACATACTCAAAAGTCTTGCTCTAAACGCTGGATACCCAAATGTCTGTATTTGCAATCGACGCAAAACTGATAAACATTGGATCTCGAGATTATGCTTGGTTCAGCTTAATTTAAAGTAAACGAACTTTACTGAACAATACGGCTCTCTTCAAATCTTGATGCAATTCCTCACTTGTAATCTGTATACTTATTTGGTTATAAAATTTGAAACGTCAAAGACAAAACGCTTTGTCAACTTTTTTTGTTTTTGCACCTCGTGTACACACATATCGTTTTGTATGTGATGTCACGTATCTATTTCTCATAATCTAATCTGTCGTTAATATTTTTCAATCAAAACTTTTTTTTTTATAAAACGATGAGGTATATCGTATACTTTATATAATTCATTAAAAAGGCAACGGTTGTTACAAGTGTATATAATGCAATAACGATACGAAAAAACTTTCCAGCATTGAATAAGTGTAAATTTGCTAGTTAAATAATTTATCCAAAAACACACGACTCCGGCTATTTTACCTGTTAGAGTCGACAAACAATCTTACACGGCAGTGTTTTACGCAATATTGTAGACATATACACGTCGTCTACTTTCATCATATTTGCAATATTCAAACATATACTCCTAAAGCCAGCATCACTATAAGCTAAACATGATTTTTTCATTTCCACTGTAAACCATTCGTCCATACAATTATACGAGCTATGAGATATATATTTTTGCTATACATATTTTCATTAGAGATTCTTCGAGGTATTTCTTTAGCATTTAATTGTAGTGTTAATTATATTAATCAAAACTAAATACACGTCAACGATTGAATATCTTGAAAAAAGAATAAATTTGTCGTAACCGACGACTCACAGGAAAACAAATCGTTTGCACGCACCATCGTCAAATAATTTACATTATAGATTACAAAATCGTTCGCCAATAAAATGTACAACCTCGTACGGTCGATCTATCGCTTCCGAGCGAATGACCGCAGCAATTTAAATAATTGGAAGATAAAAAAGAACGACTTATACCTTCCTTTGGGTACTATTCACAATTGCGCTTATACCACAGAGTATGGGGTTTTGAATTTTTTATTTTAACTCGCTTGGGAGTGAATGACAGGCGCGCCTCGGTGCAGTGCCGAAGCCGGTCGTGATTTTCGATTGAGGGTTCCATTGGCGACTTGCTGCTGATGCGCCTGGTTCACTTGCACCATACCGGCGTCTCGTTTATGAACTTCTACCGGCAATCCAAGTACCTCCATGTACTCGCGAATCAGATTCGCGATCTGGAACGCCTATGGAATCGTGAAATAATTCAGGTTAATACAATCATTACTCGGTGAGAAACAATTTATCGGTATGATTGCACGATCAAGTTACCTGTTTGGTCGTGAGTATGACTTTGCTCTGTTTCTTGTCGGGCCCAGTGATAATCATCAGGCAGTTCATGGCAGGATTGTAGCTAAGAATATTGACGTACTCGAAAGTGCAGAGTACATTCCTGGAGCGATGCTCGAGCAGATGTAGGCCAGTTTGGTCGATGGCAAGCCAAAGGACGCGCGGCCAGATCGACGTGAACGACTGCATGACGTCGAAGATCGTCGCCTTGTGTAGTGGCCACGATTGTATGAGATTGAGGAAGGCCTGCTTGGAATCGGTTGGATTCATACTGTGCAATGACTGATGGTGCTGTAGAACGCCGTCGAGGCAGAGGTTGGGCACGAACCGGGACGGCAGACAGTGACCGGCTATCGACTGGTACTCTTGTACCGTGACGTGTTCTTCGCAGTCACCGAGCTCGAGTTGGGCTTGCAGGGCTGTCAGCATGATCTAAAAAAATTGATGTTGAAAAGTTTACAGATTTTTCGCAAATTTTTTAATATTCCTCGCGAAAGGGAAAATCAAACTCACGGCTTCTTTGTCCGTAATGGGGAAACGATCGGCACGTAGATCGTGAAGAACCTGGTGATACAAAAGTTCCTTCTCGACCGTATCGTCGAGATTAATATATTGGTCCAGAAACAGGTGCTTTTTAAATAGGAAGAAGTGATGTGCGTGTTTGCGCGGCTGTGTGCCCTGGCCTGTGGCATTGGCGTTTCGGAACTTTTCCCACTTAGACATGACTTCGGCGATCTTTTCGTCCGGCAGTAGAGCTCGATCGGTATTGTTAAGTACTTCGTATATCGCGTAGCCTTTAATAACAAACAATTTTGTTAGCACACGCACCTTTTTCAAATTACCGACACATACTGACTCGTTCAACTCACCCATAGCGTTTTCTCCGAGACCGACTTTCTGCTTGATGATCGTCATGACGTCCCTCGCAGTTGCCGACGGGTGGAACTCGACCGCGTGATACTTTCCGTCCATAAAGTGGAATCTCGCGTATATGGGCCTTCTGTTGATCGTGCACATGATTTCCTCCCGACTCGGCGTCCACTGGCGCTTCCAGGTGCCTTGCGTTTTGTACAAGCACTTTTCCGCAAATCTCGCAAATTTACCCTCCTCCGTCACGTAATCGCTGGCACAGCGCTTCAGATGCGTGATGAGATACTTTCTTATGATCTTTTGTGGTGGTAGAATGACGGAGCAAGCTAATGATAAATACATTGTGTAAATACACGCGCTAACGGGTTTGGAGGCATTCATTTCCGACCAAATGGATATTGTGCAAAACATATTTACCCAACGATATGAGAGCCCAGTGCCTAAGGTTGACTCGGCTGTTCGGATCTGGATGGTCCGTGCTCTGTTTGATCAGCTGAAGATACAGCTCTCCCAATAGCTTGTCATTTCGCATGCAGCGGTCCATCACGGTCTGTATGAGATGTATGTGATCGTCTTCGGCTCGGCGCACCATGTCGCCGTTCTGACCGAGGCCGGCGTAGGTCAAAATCAGCTGGAAGACGCTCAGAGCAACCTGCTCCTCGGCATCCGGCAGTTTTGTCAGGCTTTGAGTCAGTGGCGTCTTGCTGAAGGCCCAGTACCCGTAATGGAAGCCCTTGTACGTCTCACCCTGGTCCACAGAGTTACCGTGCTCCTGGCGCAGCTTTTCTATCCTTGACTTGGACAGTCGTCTCAACGTGTTCCTGAAGAAGTTCGAGCCCGCGTCCTGGGGCTTGCGCAACGCCTCCGAGTCGACGAGTGTCCTGCGACAGTTCACCAGATTGTGGTACAGCCTCAATCTGTCCTCGTTCGTGATGCCTTTGAGCTTTTTAGCCGGAGCCTCGTTGTCCGTAATCCAGCCGGCCAGCGCTGGACAGTAGCTGACGATCAGACTTCCAATCTCGTTTTTTTGCGTCGTCTCGAAGACGAAGCACTTGTGCGAGCTGTCGGGGTTGTGCCTCAGCAGCCAGAACGTGATGAACGAGTCACTCGGGTCGATCATTATACTCTCGACGTCCTGGTAGCGATACTCGGACAGCACGAACTTGTCGTCGGGCTTGATGAGCATCAGGCCCTCGCAGTTGATGCCGAGGATCAGATGATTGCCGTAGGACCAGTAGCCGCGATAGGTCACGTTGAACATGGTCGTGCCGTACAGAGGATACTGCATCACGCAGGACAGGTAGAGGACCTTGGCGGCGAGCTCTTGGCGTCCAGCGCCATACTGGCGATGCGCCTGCGCCAGAATCGGCACCCATACATCGTCCCCTCGAGCTCGGCTGATGCGGTACGGCAGGAAGGTCTCAATCTCCTGGTAATAATCAAACCGATCGTTGTCCTTCGGATCGCCGAGCATCACCTGGGCCTGCAACCCGGCCAATTGCAGGGCCACCTTCTCCGATACCGGAAAATCATCGCACTTGACGACGTTATACACGGCTTGGGCGTACAGCATGTTCACCTCGACGGGGTCTTGGGAAAGTTCTTTGGTGTTGCGGAACAGGCGTCGCTTGAATATAAAGCGATTGTCGCCATTCGTCAGAGCTTGATTGTTGCGACGCACAGTCGAGAAACCGGATTGCACCGTGTTAAGTTTGTTTTGTTTCCTGCGGATGAATGGAAAAGGAGAAAAATGACGAGATCATAAACAAAATGATAACAAGGGAGAAAGTGTTCACATAGTTTAGCGACTTACGTCTCCCACTCGGCAATGATGTCGTAGAGGTAGTCGTGAGCCCGAACGTGTTCCTCGCCGTCGGGTCTGCTCTGATAGATTGCCCAACCCTCGAGAGACCTGAGACCTAGCTTCTCGGCTAGTTTTTTGACGGCATCGGCAGCAGTGTCCGTCGGATGAACGTCGATCGCCTTGGTCCTACCGTCGAGGAAGAAAAATCGGCACACTATGGTACCCAGTCGGCGCATCGCGGATATTTCGACGGCCGAGGGTGGATGTCTCCTGCATGAGACCTTGTTCGTGTTGCAGTTCTCGAGGCACCACTGCACGAACTGGCGCAGCTTGCCGTCGAGCGTCAGGTTCTTCTTGAGGAATGACATGAAATACTTGTGGAGCAGCTTGCTCGGCTGGAAAGCGACAACGGCCAGGCAGAGCAGAAGCCAAACGCGCTCGGCCCACTCAGCGTTGGGATTGTTGGTCCCTTGGCGCATACACTGAACGAAAATCTCGTCGCGCAACTCTTCCCGTTCGATACCGTAGCCTATAATACTCTGTATGATGCCGATTTCTTGGTCCGGCTTCAGTTCGCCTCGCAAGTACTTGCACAGATCCTAATGGAAAGTATATACGTATTTATACCCAGCTGCATTGGTGCATTGTAAAATATAGTTGTCAGACAAAATTTTATTACTTACCCTGAACACCGAGCAGGCCACGTTGACGTTATCCGGATCGTAGAGGTGAATGTGCGAGTTCGAAATGGTCGAGCCCTTGTAATAAGTGACCATCTCGTACTTGGGCACGAATTCTGTGATCTTGCCGCGTGATTTTCTCGTGAGCGTCGCCATGATCGTACCCTCGGGCGAGCGCTCGTGACTGTTGAAATAGTTCTGGGCGAACTCGACGATGTCGTGATAGTTTTCGCCATTTTCCGGCACCTCCTGCTTTTTCTCCTCCAACTCCTGCAGTTTGCGTTCGACTCGATGCTTTCGCCTCTGCTCGCGTTCAGCCGGTTGTTGTTGCTGCTGCTGATGATTCGACTGTATCTCTGGCTGTTTTTGCTGTGGCTGCTGCTGCTGCTGCTGCTGTTGTTGTTGTTGTTGTTGTTGTTGTTGTTGTTGTTGTTGTTGTTGTTGTTGCTGCTGTTGGTGTTGTTGTGGTGGTTGTTGTTCTTGCTGTTGCAGCTGGTGGTGGTTGTGTTGTTGTGGTGGTTGTTGTTGTTGGTGGTGGTTCTGCTGCTGTTGTTGTTTTTGCGGATGGTACTGCGGCGGATAGTGTTGCTCTTTCGGTGACTGTTGGGGCTGTGTTGGCTGCTGTTGGTACAAGTGCGCAGGCGGTGGCGGAAGCGGCAAGTGATTGCTGATGTTGATGTGCTCGTGCACGTGGTGACCGTGTCCGTTCTGTTGGGGTAACGGCTGGTGGTTAGCGTAATGATTCTCCGTGGAGTTAATCCTATGCTCCATCAGGCCATTCGGGCTTGTGACCTTTTTGATCTCCTGCATCGGAGGTGGAGGTGGAGGCTCCGTCGGTTCTGGCAAACTCGGGGTCTTCTTCTGATATCCGTTGACCAGATTGTGGGTCTTCTCGACCTCTTCCCCATTGGTCTGTTGAACGTTGTTGTTCCGCTTCAACTCCAGCTTGGCGTTCATCTGGAGTTCCTGCTGAATCACGGACTCGAGCTCGACATCGAGGTTCTCGACCAGCTCGTTCATCTTGTCGCCGATCTCGTCGATTATGTTGTTATTGCTCTTACCACCCGATTGCATGTCAGAAAGGAAGGAGAATATATTGTCGAGGTCCACCGAATCGGTTTGTCCTTCGTGGCTGTTGTTGTTGATGTTGTTGTTGTGGTTGGTGGTGTTTGTGTTTCTGTTGTTGTTGCCAGCTATCTTGGAGTTGTACTGTTCGGCCATCTGCGTGAGAGCCGCGATTTCTTCTTCCGCTCTTCTGTAATGGAAAACACAAGAATCGTAAATCAGAAAAGGTTGTTGCAAGAATTTTCACAGCAAATCAAAAAACAACGACAGTGTGCTATAACTGTGCATCCAGTGTTTGTGAAGATTGCTCGATTCCATGCTGCTAAACGAGTTATATATGTATGTGGGTTAAATTAGGTAATACTGAAAAATTGTGTCTCATCATCATTATAATTGCAGCCTAGGGTGCAGGTTCTATCAAGTATATATTATACCTAGTCATACAAATTTTATCGTGTATCGTTGCTACTCGCAGATAACATGAAACAACTGCAATAAAATTATCCGAACGCTACTTTGTTAGATTATTTTTGTTTGTGCATCGTGTGAAAAATAAAATATACTTGTTTGCTCAAGTACGTTTTGTTAATCAGTGTTGAAAATTTATACCTTCGAAGAAAAAATACACAATAAATACCGAATATACTTTGTGATGGTTGGAAAAGCTAAATAATTTCAATGTCATGTAAAACAAAAACAAAAATTACGTTGTTTCTCGCATGTCATATTGTACACCAGAAATGTAAAAGTGCAATGACGTATGAATAAAAAATATGTCAACGCATGCAATACACATTGTCAATTATTCCTTTACGGTCTCTCGCAACTCGACAAACTTACCCAGCCTCCATTCCGGCCATACCGTTGTACTTATCGCTATAATTATACAAAAAAGAAAGAACACGTCATACAATCATCTCATTATGTGCATCATCGCGATAACAACAATGAGATCGTGATTTAAGTACTAGACCGCTTAGAAAAAGAAAAAAAAAAAAAAAAACTAAGAGATAAAGGGGTACTAGATAATAACGAGAGTGCACTCACCTCTGGCTGTCCTCAAGGGCCTTATTGTCCTCCATCTCCTGGCGTTCCTTCTCGAGTCTTTCGCGCTTCCGCATCTCCTCGTCGACTAGCCTCATCTCCCGCAACGCGGCCGCGACTTCCCGAGCAAAGGCACCGCGCAAATGCGACTGTATCACGATGGCGGCGCGCCTCTTCTTGAGGAACACGATCCTCAGCTTCCAGCCCCGATAGGCATGCTGCACTTTCAGAGCGGCCTCTCTTACGCGCACATACTCTGTTGGATTGGGTTGTTTTTTTTTTTTTTGATAATGCATATTCACACCCAACGACCCGAAACTAAATATAATTAAAACTACCGACCTTTGCGAACTTTGTAGCCCCGCCAGATCTTTTGCAGGAGAACGGCGTTGGCCGTCATGATCTGGTTTCTCGCGTCCTCGAGAGGCTCGTGCACAAACTTCCTCAGAAACACCTTGGTCTTGCCGATCTGCCACTCGTTGGTGGAAACGCTCTTGGTTCTGATGAGCGCCCTCACGGCCTCCTTGTCGTCCCTGGGTAGAGCGAAGCGCCTCTTCTCGAGGCAACGATACCTCGCCACAAAGTCCCCAAAGTCCATGTGTATGGGAAAGCCCTCCTTCCGTATGCGTATGATGTCGAGCATGCCGAGGTACCTCAGCTGGTCGAGCACCAGCTTCTCGTCGTAATGATCGGCCCTCTTGTCCATGTTCGGCTTGATGCAGCGCGCGTACCAGGGCGTAGTCGCTTGAAGCACGTCCACCAGCGCCTGGAGCTGATGTCGGAACGAGTCGCACAGCGTCGGCTTGCCCTTCGAGGTGCCTCGGGACAGGGTTGCTGCCGCGCTGCTGTTGCTACTACAGCTCCCGCCACTGCTGCTGCTGATCGTACTGCCCGTGGATGCTCTACCGACCGGGCAACCAACGAGATCCTGATAAACAGACACGTATGCAACGCTATGACGTGAAACCCTGCGTCAACGATAATCGGAGGTAAAAGAAAAGCTCACCTGAAAGGCCGCAATCTCCTGGACGAACTCGTTGGTGCTCCTGGACATAAAGTCGAAAAAGACGTCTTGCTGCACGTCCCGGTTCTTATCGACGAAGCCCTCGACCGTGTAGGTGACGCAACCCGCGTAGTGCCTGACCCCAAACTCCTTCTCCCACCTGCGGCGATCGTCGCCCTTGATGTAACTCGGGTGGCCCTCGAACTCGGCGTGCAGATTCGTCAGGTAGGCCAAATCCGAGCCCTTGGGCATGTGGCACTGCTCCGTGAGCAACTTGAGCACGCACCTGGGCGGTTTCTCGATCAACTCGAGGCATATGCTGTTGTCCGTGAAACTGATGTGCGAGTAATGTATCCCCTCCTGCCTGTACAACTCCTGCTCGAGGGCAAATACGTAGTGGTTGAAGAACTTGTGGAGCTTCTCGTTGGTGTAGTTGATGCAGAGCTGCTCGAAGCTGTTGCTCGCAAAGTTCTCGAAGCCAAAGATGTCGAGGACCCCGAGGAAGCGCGACGTGTCCTGGCCCGGGTTCGTGCAATTGTTTATGTGGTTGATCAGCCAGGCGAAGGTGCGCGAGTAGAGGGCCTTGGCCATGGCGTGGCGGTTCTCCCGCGCCTCCTGGACCCTCAGCGGGATCTCGGTTATGTTGCCCCGGACGTTGATCTCGCGCTGCAGGACCACCCGATGCACGTCCTCGAGCTGCAATCCCAGGAGAATGGACACGGTCTCGAGGATCTCGCGGTCGGCGGTCGCCAGCTCGCACCTCTCCCCGTCCACGTCCTGAAAGCCGAGATTGCCCAGCCAGAGGATGGCCGAGAGCACCCGGAATATACCCTCGCACATCTCGACCGGCACCTGCAGCACGTTGAACGCCAGCCTCAGCGCGTCGAACTTTTTCGAGTCGGTGGCCGCGGCGTCCTCCTCCTCCTCCTCCTCCTCCTCCTTGGCGTGGTTGGCGCCGTTGGTGAGGGGGGGCGCGCCGTCCGGGTCGGGCGGGTCGTTGGCCCGGTTGAGGTACCTGTAGTGGCTCGCCGGCTTGAGCCTGTACTGCTCGGCGAACTCGAGGTCGCGGCGAGCCGCCTCGACCAGCTGGTAAAACACGTGGTAGTTGCGCTCACCGGGACTCTGGGAGGTGATGCGGCTCTGCTCGAGGAGGTAATCCTGGATTATGCAGCCCCGTATCATCCACTTGCCGTCGAAGCACACCTGCATGAACTTCCCGAAACGCGAGCTGTTGTCGTTGCGCACCGTTTTCGCGTTACCTGCACAAATTATACATGGAATCGGTGGTGCTTGTATATTTGTATATTATATGTATATCGATGGTCGGCGAAAATTTCTCACCGAAAGCCTCGAGTATGGTGTTGGCCTCGAGGATGCGCTGCTCGACCCACGTGTCGACGTTGCTCGTCACCGAGCACAGGTACTGCAGGATGAACTTTGTCGTCTCGGTCTTGCCGGCCCCGCTCTCGCCCGATATGACGCACGACTGGTTCACGTCGGCGTTCATGAGCGAGCGGTAGGCAGCCTCGGCCAGTGCGAACACGTGCGGCTCGAGGGACCCCATCTTTTGGCCGTGGTATTGGCGCACGTGTTGCTGCAAACACACGGGGACAGGTGTTTCTTTCATTGTCAACTGCATCGTGGGAACAAACGATGTCTATATTCTTCCTCCTGATCGTATCATTATAGGTATTATGTATTACACTGGTGTAAGTATCGGGGACAAAGAGAAATCGGCAAAAGCTCCGATAGGCGCGGAAACGATCACCGCTTTGGCAATCACCGGCGTCGAAGGAGGGGGGGGGGTGAGGAGCTTTCGGGAAGATTAATCGCTCCTTCGTTTGCCTCCACTCGTCTTGATTGAAATTCATCCCTGTATACCTATAGCCGCAGGCTTTCGGGGATTACCAGACCGATCGCGCGATATTGAAGCAAAATCGGGATCGGCGGAGGGGGGGAAGCTTCTTCTTCTTCTACTCGAAGGGAACAAATTTTAATGGGTAAAGTGCCACGTATACGGAGAGAGCCTCTGTCGCTGTATAACCATTTCCGTTTTCCCAGGCGGAATAAGTAGAACTACCCAGTGTAGGTGTGTAACGTATACACGCAAGTAGTACAACCCAGTTTACCGTCAGCCGGCGACCCCTTTACTTCGTCTCTCCGTAGCGCGCTCGGGTCGCGTCATCGTCATCAACGACCCCCCCCCCCTCTGGCTTTTTCACTCCCTTCTCGACACACTACGCTGATTTTGTTTTCACTCGTGTTTATGTCTCTCCTCCCCCTTTCCCCCTTTCTCTGCAGCTTCTTGAGTTTACGTGCACGTGTTATATACGCGTTCTCGGCGCTTTTCCGTCTTTTCGCGGCTGTGCAGGGGATTTCTCCGAGCGCGTGGCCTTTTTTCTTTCGAAAGCTCGTCGAGTTGCTTGTATACGTTCGACGGGGCTTTTGTCTTTTTACTTTGGGACGCACAAGTCTTACTTGGGGCTCATTTAAATTTACTCGCGATGACAATTTGCAAAGTCAAGAGTGGATTTTCTTCCCCCCCCCNATACCTACACAGGCTCTTTGCTTTTTTTTTTCCTTTTGGGTGTATGAAGCTTTACTGCGCAGTAGAAAAATATATATATATATATTACAGCGAAAGTGATTACAGGAAATCCTATTTTTTTTTTTTTTTTTTTTTTCCTGATGATTAAAACATATACCCCAGTCACTTGAAATGTATATTTAATTTTAAATCAAAGATTCCGACGTTGGGCGAAAAGCAAAGAAAAAAACGCTCGGATTCATGCAGTGTACCGAAAAAATATACGAGCTAACGAGGTGTTTTTTACCCGAAGGAGAGAAAGGAAGAAAGAGAAAAGAAAATTGAAAGCAATTACGTACACCAGAGAGACTCATTGATGAAAATTTGAGTATCAAGCACTTTGTCATTATCTCTCGTTACGTGCAAATGTGTGTATGTGTTATGTAATATACGTGGAGGGAGTGCAGGGTTTCCGGAGCGGAAAATATATTCCCGAGTGCCCGTAAGAAAGTAGGGTACGCGTGAGTGGATCGTACACGGTTGGCTGCTCGTGTTTCTGAATTTTTGACGATCTGAAAATTTTATCGCGCACCTGGTAGGTAGGGTGCTCAAGTGCGACTACTCGAGAGCCCGGATCTCTAAAAAAAGCTCGCCTAACGAATATACAAGCCCGTCAATTGGCTCATCTAAGCTGATGGGGAAAAAAAAAAAAAAAAGAAATCAACCAGAGGGTGGCAATGAGCCCGCGGGGAAATAGAAATGAGCCACCAAGGGCCCTCGACCCGCATACACGATCCAACCAAGCCTCTCGCGTGCACGCTCGGGATCGTTCCGACCTTCGCGATCGACCCACCACCGGATCCGATTTTTCTCATGGAGATATTTTTCGAGCGAGCGCGCCCATCTCCTCTTTCCCCGCGTCCAAATTGCCCCGTTTGACCCTGCACGGTTTTATTTACCACGCAGAATAAGTTGAGGCGGCGTAAGATCATACAAACTTTACCCCCTCGTAAATAGTGTCATCTCTTTTAATATCACTAAACGCGTCTTCTCACTCGTATGCTATGCGTATGGATTTTCATATCGTGCCAAAGAAAAGTATAATTTGAAGCCATAAAAATACACGAGAGAGCGATAAACGTTGCTCCCAAGGATCGGAACACCCGCGCAAAACTCTTATAACAATATGTATACCTACTATACGAAGGGTCCCATATAATATATAGGTATACATTCAGCGCTCGCTCGCAACACGCGAACGAGTACAGAGTCTAATGACCCGTCTCCCGCCCTCACGGAGCTCCCTTTCGACTGCCATGCGAGCGGTGCCTGTATACTTAATTTTTCCTCGCTTGATTTTTCAAACTCATTATGGAAAAAAAAAAAAAATCGCCGAGACGCGAAAAGAATAAAAGAGAGAGAGAGAGAGAGAGTAAAAAAGAGTCCATAGACACAGGGCAGAGGTACAGCGTGCGCGCGCGCGTGTTATCGACGCGCATTTTACTGGGACTTATCGAGAGCGCAGAAGGAAGTTTAATGCAAGAGTCGTCGCTTCAATTGCGGGGCTATGACAAGCTCACTGGAGAAAAGTTGGGGAAGGAGGAAGAGATGGGCTTGATTTATTTTGCAGCAATTTTAATCTCATTGCGGGAGCTGTCATCGTGTACAAGTGTACATAATATATTATCATGCTTCGTTGAAACTAAGTGTACGTGTGCGTGCAATGTGCGAAATAAAACAAAATCCGTTGCGTGTGAATTTGACTTTGCGAGTTTAATCGGAGCAAAGAGCGGGGATGGTCCAAAGTTTTCTTCCACAACCAGCTCGATGAAAGGGGCGGGAGGGGGGGTTGAAACCCGTGCATGGCACGCTGGCCTGTAAACAACAATCAGCTGAGCTGAGCCACGGCGACTATATGTACGTATATGTATACATTCGCAAGAGCAGCGCCCAAACCACCCCGCCCACCTACGACCCATCGCGTTTCCACGGAAAACGAGATCTCGGGGGGCGATCATCGTAACTACCGGCGCGGTCGGTAAAGCAGAGCTCTGGCCGATCTACCCCTTGGCACCCCCGATAAAACATGTATATACTATTGCCAAAACAAACGGGCGATCTGGGGGAAAAAGAGCGCCCGCATGCAATGAAAATCCAGCCTCGAAAGTATATATAACAGTGCGGCAGGCATCCGTATGTAGGGAGGAAAGCACTGCTCATAGAGCTCGTACAATATATACAGGTATATGTGTATACACTCCCACAGCCGAATCTGATGCGCGCAGCGAGCCGATCAATAACCGGGCGTGTACAGGAGCGCTCTCGGCCGCCGTTCCAACCCTCTCTCGCGGCTCGTCGACCTTTTCCCACGTCGTACTCCTTTTTTTCCCCCCCTTGGCCACCCCCCACCCCACTCTCGGATGATTAGTTATCAAGCTCGTACAACCCATCATTACATATATACCTATGGTATCCATCACTATCTAGTGATCCCCGAAGGCGATCACCGCGCTCGATTGGAGATAGGTACACACGCCAATTAACCCCCCCCCCCCGGCCGATGGTGTATATACAGCATGATATGTAACGGTGGCATTTACCAAGAACCGCGTGTAGAGCGATTTTTTCTGACGCGAACCCCGTTGGAATTAATTTTTTAGGGCAAATAGCTTTTAAATAGGAGCCGATTGAAAATACGTTCCAAACTACCCCTAAATGGGGTTGGAAGGCTATAGCGCGCCCGCATGAACTCGCGACGTTGCCACATTGTTATTGGAGCTTAGTCGGTAAGCAGTGAGAACTATATCCATGTGCGCACGCAAGAGCGTCAGCTACTGCTGGTAACTTGAAGGTTGGATGTAAAAATTTTTACCTTGAGGTAAATATTGTCTGCTCCTTAAGTTGTCAGTTGTTTATCCACGCGCTTACTGTCTTTCTCACTCTCATGTTGGACAAAAACATCTTTAAATTTTTATACTTAAGTAATGTTACCTCAAATAAAAGTAAAATACCATATCAGTAGGGATTTTTCCACTCTACACGATAGTATTTTTGCAAAAATAGTCGACCTCTTGGTCAAAAATATTGTTGTTGGGTATGTCTTGCTTACGTTCCCGGGTATGTCGTCTGTACACGATTTAGAACGAGTCCATTCATAAATTGCAATAATCAAAGTATATTACAGTTGATATTGCTCATAAAAATCATTTATTTATCATCCAAATTTACATACTTTAAAATAATACGTTTGAAAATGCTCTAAATACTATCTAATTATTTCAACAAAAATTATCGAACATCTTTTCAAAAAAATCGTAAACTTTTTAGTGTATTGAATAATAATTAAAAAATGTCACGTTAATAAAAAGTTTGCTTAATGTACATCTTTATTCAGTTAAAACTTAACCATTAATATTAACTGACACATTGAGAATAAAAAATAGTTAATAACATACAGAAGTTAAATTTAATCGAATTTAGTCCCCACCAAGTGCCCGGAAAGTACCCGAGGAAGTGCCCGCAAAGTACGCGGGAAGTGCACGCCAAGTACTCGGGAAGTACCCGCCAAGTAACCATAAAGTACCCGAGGAAGTACCCGGGAAGTATCCGCCAAGTGCCCGGGAAGTACCCAAGGAAGTACCCGCCAAGTATCCGGGAAGTACCCGCCAAGTACCCTGGAAGTGCCCGGGAAGTACCCGAGGAAGTGCCCGGCAAGTACCCGACAGTATTGTACTTGGTGGGTACTTCCCGGGTACTTGGTGGGTACTTCCTTGGCACTTGACGGGTACTTCCCAGGCACTTCCCGGGCTTTTCCTCGGGTTCTTGGCGGGCACTTGGCGGGTACTTCTCGGGTACTTCCCGGGCACTTCCTCGGGTACTTGGCGGGTACTTCCCGGGTACTTGGCGGGCACTTGCCGGGTACTTCCTGCGCACTTGGCGGGTACTTCCCGGGCACTTGGCGGGTACTTGATTATTGCAATTTATGAATGGACTCGTTCTAAATCGTGTACAGACGACATACCCGGGAACATAAGCAAGACATACCTAACAATATTTTTGACCGAGAGCTCGACTATTTTTGCAAAAATACGATCGTGTAGAGTGGAAAAATCCCTACTGATATGGTATTTTACTTTCATTCGAGGTAACATTACTTAAGTATAAAAATTTAAAGATGTTTTTGTCCAACATGAGAGTGAGAAAGACAGTAAGCGCGTGGATAAACAACTGACAACTTAAGGAGCAGACAATATTTACCTCAAGGTAAAAATTTTTACATCCAACCTTCAAGTTACCAGCAGTAGCTGACGCTCTTGCGTGCGCACATGGATATAGTTCTCACTGCTTACCGACTAAGCTCCAATAACAATGTGGCAACGTCGCGAGTTCATGCGGGCGCGCTATAGCCTTCCAACCCCATTTAGGGGTAGTTTGGAACGTATTTTCAATCGGCTCCTATTTAAAAGCTATTTGCCCTAAAAAATTAATTCCAACGGGGTTCGCGTCAGAAAAAATCGCTCTACACGCGGTTCTCGGGAAATGCCACCGTTACATATCATGCTGTATATGTATATGTATATGTATTTTCCGAAACAAAAAGCGGCACTCGGCTATTTCCCTTTTGGCAAGCCGGGTGCATTCAACAGCTTATCCTTTGAGCGCTGCCAAAGGTAGCCATTTGTGTGTATATTTATGTATTTTATCGTGCATATGTGTACCACTGGGCCAAGCCAAACTCAAACATTTTTTTTTTTTTGACGGCCCAGCCCCAGTTTTTCACTCCAACCTCGCTGTGTGTACAACAGGTGCATGTGTATATGTACGTGTTCCACGTATACATCGGCATCAAAAGTAAAAGAAGAAGAAGAGAGGCCAAGAGCACGGGTTTTTCTCTATCGCGGGGGGGGGGGTAGTGATGGAAAACGGGAGCACAGGGCGTGGTACGCGCGCCCTATATACCACCACCACCGCCTCGGTTCCCCTCGTTTCCGACGACTACACGTATATATAAAGTATATAGCGCACAGTATCGCGAGGATGAGCTTTTACCGCGGATAAGAGGGGCACGAGAGCTCTTTTCAGCCGATGATGGTCCGCGCCCAAGATATTGTACACACGCGGTGTGTTGTCTGTATACCCAGTGTACCCACGAATCTGCACGGGTGTAGTACATAT